TTGTGCTTGGCTGAAAAAATTGACGGAAAGGTTTTCAGACGGAAACGATCATTATCGTCTGACCGGAAAATCGACAATTCGCTCTAAAATGGACAAAATTTCAGAATGTCAAAATTTGACGGAAAAAGTGCGTTTGACAGCACCTTTATTTAATTTCTAGAGGGAAAATGAAATGTCATATGCACATGAAAATATAAATTGAGAAATTGTAGGTTAATATTTCCGATATCTGTAATTGTATCTTCAACATGTCAAAGGGGTGTGAAAATGAGCATTAAGATAAAAAAAAAAAAAAAAAAAAAAAAAAAAGTAAAAAAATAGCCACTTAATCTTATCATTGCCTTCACTCCCCCCCCCCCTCCCTCCCCTTTCTCTCGTTCTCCCTGTCTCTCTCTCTCTCTCTCGACATGTATGTGTCTGTTTATGTCCCGTTCCCCCTTTCTCTACCTCAGTACAGCAAATGGTCTTGTTTTCTTCCTTTTTAGTTCGCATATTTGGGGACTGATAAAGTTCAGTGGTAAAGGATACAAAAAAAAACAAAGATGCCCTGTGTTTCTCCCATAAACCCCTCAGAGGTCACACAGAGGACTTAACCCATTTATTCCGGTTTCATGTACCGACTATTTTAATATTTGTTATGAATTTTGTTGCTCACAGATGGCGCCACAAGGACTTAGCCACCAAGGAGCCAATCAGAGGGCGCGCGTAACATATGATTTCCTTATTCCTTAGATTTTTGGGATTATTTCTTCTAATGCCGTTAATCACGATAATTATATTATTAAGGTGCTATAACAAAATAGAGAATCCCGAAAATTGAAGTAAAGGGTAACCAGGTAAGGAAGGTAGGAATAAAAATTGACTAATTGGTGACTAAGCACAAGTGGAACCATGTATATGTGAACACAATAAACTAAATAGGAAACCACCAATTTTGACAGTTACATAAAGCTTGACCGTAAATATATATTATATATATATATATATATATATATATATATATATATATATATATATATATATATATATATATATATATATATATATATATATATATATATATATATATATATATATATATATATATATATATATATAATATAGAATGAAATAAAATGAAATGAGAGGCAAATAAATGTATATTTATTTATGTAGAGAACAATGGCAAAATACAGAGTACTCACAGACGTACCTATGGAAAGAATCTTGGAATTGGGAGCAGTGGCTAATAATGATGTTTTTCTTGAGAAACCGATAAGCACGATGATGATGCATATGTAATAACAGACCAAGGAATGATTATTCATATATTTAATCTAAGTGCATTCTCTGCTTCGATTATAATCAAATTGCATCACACACTTTCTCACCCTTTTCTCTTCTATTTCTCCTTTCTCTCTTTCTATTCGTTTCCACTTCTTTCTCTCTTCCCACTTTTCCTCGTAACACTATTTGCGAGACATTCAGGGCAAAGTTTCTGACATGCATTATTAATGTTTTCATTTTCCAAAATTTAATGATGAAATTACCTTGATTATTGGCCTCGTGGTATCATTTTGCCGTCCATTTCAAAGCTAATATATGGGGTCCTTCCCTTTCTCTCCATTTTTTTATATCACATTTTTATAAAATATATTTTTTTCTAGAACGGAGGGTAAAGAACCAACAAAAACGGCCACGTGGGAACACATACACTTTTGTCTCCCAAAATTATCTTTTTTTTCCAGAGAAAAAGGAACAAGGAGACATCGGAAGACAACATACTGGTCGAAGGTTCCCTCCTTGTTTCAAGAGGAAAGAGGGTCGGAAATTAATACAAAACAAAACAAAAAGATACAGGATGTTGGAGACCGGGAGGAAGTGAGCAGGTATGAATGAGAACAAATATCTTCACAATACAAGAGATGTATTTAACCGGTTTCGATTATATCTTCGTCAGAAATACATACATTAGGGAGAATACACAGCATATTTATATTACATCGGAGCTGATGAATCACCTGATGACCGTGACCTCGCGCTCGTTGTACGCAAAATTGCTGCCGCGACCTTGGATAGTTTGAATCTATCCGATACGGTGTTCATAATTTTCTGTCTGTGCTTCCATGACCCCTTTATATTTGTTTAATCCTTTGTATTTCCTTCATTTCAGTTTCTTTCCAGTTCGGTTTGGGTATGTGGCAACCCCATAACTGCCGTTCCTCTGCACTCTACTCCCTCCTGGTCTCCAACATCCTGCATCTTTTTGTTTTGTTTTGTATTAATTTCCGACCCTCTTTCCTCTTGAAAAAAGGGGGGAACCTTCGACCAGTATGTTGTCTTCCGATGTCTCCTTGTTCCTTTTTTTTCTGGAAAAAGGGAAAAATAATTTTGGGAGACAAAAGTGTATGTGTTCGTATGTGGCCTCCGTTTTTGTTGGTTCTTTACCCTTTGTTCTAGAAAAAAATATATTTCTTTTCCCCGAGGAATTCAGTACTCTAAATATGTTTGTGTTATTGCCTTATAATTCTTTATTAACCTCTTACTCTGCTTTGCAACCATTGTTTTTCCCGCTATTATTCTGTTGCTCTTTCTTTCACTTTTTATCTTGTACCTTTGTATTTTTCTACTTTTACTCTATTGTTTCCTTCTTTTCTTTTTGTGATTTGTTTTACAACTCTTTAATTATTTCTTTACTTCTTGTATATAGGCCTCTGTTTTGTTTATTTGTGAGTATCCATTATTTCTTTAAAAGTTAATTCTCATTTATATATTACTGTTTTTCTTATGTATGATTTCTATCCTGTATTTAGGAAAAAAAAATATATATACACACACACATATATATATATATACATATATATATATATATATATATATATATATATATATATATAATATATATATATATATAGGATACCCGCATATACGTCTCTATCCGCATCCACATGTATGCAGTTATACATACCCATACATACCCATATGTATATGTATACACCCGCACTGCGCATGTAAACGTCAGCATCTCTCCGCATACATGTATACACACTTAAAGACATACACCCGTCCATATACGCATATATATACATATAAACATATACATATACACCCACCTTCATATATATGCACATAAATGGAAAAACATACACCTATACACACCTATACATACACATGTAAATATGTACACCCATACACCCATGTTGGTGGGCGGAGTGCACATCGTTCC